TTTTTTTTTTTTAAGATTTTATTTATTTGAGAGAGAGAGATAGAGCACAAGCAGGGGGTGGGGTTGGGGAGAGGGAGAAGCAGGCTCCCCACTAAGCAGGGAGCCCGACACGGGGCTTGATCCCAGGACCCCAGGATCATGACCCGAGCTGAAGGCAGATGCTCAACTGACTGAGCCACCCAGGCACCCCAGACAAATAGCTATCTGTAGTGGGAAACTCATTTAAATCCCTATCTCATACCACGCTCCTTACTCTTCTGTATGTTTGAAATACATCATAATAAAAACTTAGTTTGACTAAATGCATACACTAAAATCTCTTACTCTGTTAGTAAACCACAGGCCAGTTATCATAATTTTACAAATTGTTCTCCTTGCTAGGATCCCAAGGGCCTATGAACTTACTTAAGTTGCATATAACCTCAATTTCACACCAACTTTTTGAATAATATAAGTCTTACCTCATAGATCCTGGCAATTCCACAAAGTAGGGTTACTTCTCCTGGAAACTTATCTAAGCCTTGTTTGAAAAGATTTAAAGCTGTCACTGGTTGATCCAATGAGATATAAACCTAAAACCAAGATACACTTCAATAAAAGTACTGGTTCTTAAAATAACAGTATTTGTTATGACAAGTTTGTAATTATTGCTTAGTAACAGACTATCTCCTAGATATGACAAGTAAAAAGTTTTCAGAAACGTGGATTAATTTTCAATAGTGATGTTAGTTTTATCTTCACATGTCATATATGAAGCATCCACTCATTTATTCCTTCAATAAACGCTCATTGTAGGCTTGCTATCGCCTTAGAGATTGAGCAGTAACTCAATAAGAAAGGAATGAGGGAAAATCTGTTTAGGATAGAACAGACGGGAGTATGTCTGTAAGCGGGCACAAAGAAACCAATTAGGAGATCGAAGTTGGAGACACAGGAGAAGGAGGGGAGGACCAACGAACAAGAAGGTCTGAGAAAGAGCAGCAGTGGAGAGCCCGTGGAGAAGCTGGTTTTGGAAAAGGTCCCTCGGAAATAGAGGAGGAACAGATTTGTGAGGAATGGGGCCAGGGGGTTGAGAAAGTTAGCACTTGATGGCTTCCACTTAATTAGCAATTAGAACATTAGCATAAATAAATCATATACTTCATGGGAATTTCTAAAATAGGGAATTACAGTTTTACGCATGGAAACATAAGATTATGACATTTTTTCTTCATGATCTTGGATCCTCTATTTCTTTTCAAATAGACTGTGCTTTGAAGAAGGCCCAAATGGATCCACAGAAAAACTGTTTATAGTGTTTGATGCTAAAGTATGAGATTAAAGGGAGAGGTATGGATGAAAATATTTCAACTTTTACTTTATACACCATTGAACTGCTTTTTAAAATACAACAAAATATATCAAGTAATATAAAACATTTAATTTTTAAAAAATTAATCCAATATTTTCAGAAATAATACTGTTCCTCAATCAGATTGATCTCTATTTCATAGCAATTATTCTTTCATATATTAAAGAAAATAAGCAAATTTTACTTTGAGACAGTCATGTAGGCAATAATAGGTTTAAGAAAATCAATTTATGGAAAAATATGTCAAACCATGTATTCAACAAAATAGTTAAAAAGCACATTTTTTTAAAACACCTGGCGATTATCAGTTAAGAAGATGACAGCCAAATAGTGTGACCTGAGTTTTAATTTCAAGGTATCTGAAAAGTTTAAAAGTCTACTGTGATGCTTAGAAACTTCTTTAAGAATTTTAGATTTTATATATAATGTACAGAAGATGGAAAACTACGGTAAACAGATCAAGATTATTTAGCACCGTAAGTTTATAGAGTGTAACTTTCACTTTGTTTCTTTTTTAGTGTGCAAATTCTTAATAAAGCCATATTTAGGAAGTAGTGGCATTTCCGTTTATAGCTCTTCTTTTCAACCCCCTTTCGCACACTTTTTAATTTTAAAAAATTAGTCAAGATACAGCAATATGATGTCCTAACCAGCACTTCATCAGATGCTTCAAGTAGCCCTGGCGAGGGCCAAGAAGTAACTTTTTCTGAAAATTCTGGTGGCCCTTCACTTCCGCTGTGGTTGTGGGGGGCAGTATGGGACAGTGAGGAGGAAGACCTGCGTTGGAGTGCTGGCTCTGAACAGCCAAGTGACCCTGAAAATCCTACTTAGCCTCTTTAAATCTCCACTGTCCTAAGAGTACAAAGGAAATGTAACAAATCTACCTTGCGGGGGGTGGCTATGAGGCTTAAATTCACCTGTGGGTAGAACAGACGGGATATAATACCTTCTCCTGAATAGGTGTTCAGTCAAGGGGAAATACTGTCTTTGTTATTATGGCAGAGCCAAGAAGCCAAGGACCTACATAAAAACAACTCCGGTTCTCTGCAGTCTGCTTAGGTGGGAGACAGGCATGCTGTAGAAAAGAAGGCCTCTCTGGGGCCCGTTACCCACGGGGATGGTAATAAGCCCGTGGCAGTTTCTTCTGCTCTAATGGGCAATCTTTCAAAGGGGTTTTCTTCTTTTTCGTGGCAATCAATTTCTCCTGAGACAGTTACCCTCCATATGTTCTCACTTTTCCACTCGCTATAAAGAAAAATAAGTCTGAGCACATTAACTTGCCAACTATTCCTGAAGAAACTGGCAACTCTCCGTATATATTGGCCAGAATTTGAACATTTATTTTGAGAAGACAGATTTCACTCCAGGCAAGAATACTTACTTACTTTTGCCAAGTAGAGAAATGTATCTACCATTTCCTGCTGCTTCAGGGCTGATTTAAACTGTTTTTCTGCTTCACGATACATTCCTAACCTAAGAACAGCCATTTTAAAAATGAGACATTCAACTTAAAAATAAATACTACAGCACTTATTCACACACTGGGGATATGAATAGAGACAAATCACATTTCTATCTCTAAGAGTAAGCATGTACTAAAGAAGCTAATGTCATACACACATAGAAATTATCAGCATCATGTTGATCTAGTTGAGCACAAAGTTGCCTATTTCCCATGTTCACTGTCCATGTAACCCTCCAGTGGTGTGTCACAAGTCTGTCTGCAGCCTGGACACAGCAGGACTAACAGAGCTGCCATCGAGCCAGGGCACATCAGTTTACCACCCAAAGAGCTTATCATCAGCTGGACATACAACAGGTGACCTGAGTAAACGCTCTGGGTCTCCATTTTATTGGAAGAACTTAGGGATGGCATTTCTCTGAAAACATCATCTACTCTGAGACAAAGGCCCATTTTTTTTTTTTAAACATTTTATTTATTTGACAGAGAGAGAGAGACAGCGAGAGAGGGAACACAAGCAGGGGAGAGAGGGAG